TGGTGATGGGAAGCCCACGGGGATTACAATTGAGATGGAAAAATGCAGAAAATGATGTAAAAATAAACTATTATAATAAAAAATAAATAAATAAATTGTCAACATGTGCCTTTCTTCATAATTGCCCCGTGTGGAAAGGATGCCCACTGTGGGATGTTGGGCTCATCTCTGCATAGACTGTATGCTTATGCGTCCCTGGTGCCTACCAAGGGAATAGCAGTGACTCAGGGTGGAAGACACCAGGGGACAGGTTTGCTTAAGTTGTTCTTCTGCATTTTTTCCTTCATTCAAAAATTATGTCAGAAAGAACTTATTCCAGAAATCTGGATCAGCTCTAAACATGTGTTTTCTCATTAAACTTGACGACTTCGAGACTTTTCAAATAAGCCTGCTATCTTTTAGTTACTGGCAAGCAATACTGATAAATTACAGACAAAGGCAAATTGATCTTTATGATCTTTTAGGTAGGAGAGGACCATTTCACATTGCCCACTCTAAGACAACTGAACTTGGTAATTTCTCCAGTGGACTCAGCTGTGAGCCAAAACTTCTTTTATGAGCAAGGTTTATTCCAGCCATTTACCTTTAAGAGGAATCCAGCTTTACAGTCAGGTCCATTTATCTCCATGTAAACTATTGCTAGGACTTAAGTATCATGTTGTGTTAAACATTGTTACTGACTGTGGTTATAAAATTTAGAATATGATGGTCAAGAAGCTGAAAATACTACTTTGGCAGAAGGCTCTCTAAGGCAGCCAGGTGAGAAGACTAATGCAAGGCCCGAGGCCCCCCTTCCTGTGGTTGTGGGAAGACACTCTCCATTCCTGCAAATTATTTGTGGCTCTGTGAGGAGCTCATTTGACACTGTTACTGTCCTCCAGTGTACAATCTCAGAGGTAGCATTGGAATTTTCTAGTCTTTGCAAGAATGTTTGCTTCAGTGCACAGTTGTCCTATGACACAAGTACAATGGTAAAGCTCACAGAGAGAGAGAGACAGCCCTGAGGAGTGGGTCTTAGAATGTGCCACTGTTTTCTAATCCTTGATATACTGAGCCAGAGCAAACTGTGTAGCAGCGTGACCAAGCAGTGGCACTGGACCTGGCTCCCCAAAGCTAACAACCATGGAGACCTGTGGAAGCAGGATATTGGGAAGGAAGGTTTTGAAGTTAATTGAATTTTATGATTAACAAAAAGTTATCCAAACAGCTCTGTTGCACCTCGTGTTACGGAAGCCTTTCCTTCTTATAAGTATCATTAATAATGTAGTTCAGGCCCTCCCTGATGGCGCAGTGGGTTAAAGCACAGCACTAAGAAGCTAAAGCCACTTCAGCACGAATTTGATCCCTGCCCCGAGGTGACCCACATGGCACAGCAGACCTCTCCTGTCTCGCCCACTGCTCCCCTCAGCAGTGTACTTCACCAGTCAGCCTGTTCTGCTCCCCGCTCTGTCTCTGTGAATCCTCTTACCCTGCACCTCTGCCTGCACCCCAGTTCTATATGCACAAATAAATCTTTTTTAAAAAATGTAGTTCAGTCTTTTTTAAGACTGTAAACTCCTATAGTCTTGAATAACACACTTTCTATTCTTTTCTGCTTTATAGTCAGTCTACCATAAAACTCTTCAACACTTATGTAACATTATCTTAATCAAAAAAGCTTCCTGTATGTTTTCCTACAAAATGACTATAGAAGGTAAAGTGATCAGATTAGATAGACACTTGGAAAGCTAGAGTTACTAGAGAAAAGGGAGAAATCGAATATGAGATTTTTGGCCATTTTTTGTTTTTCTGAAAACAAATGATAGAAAAAATAATTCCCTAATAAAAAGGATTATGAATTCTCTGAAAGTGGCCACTCCTAGCGAAAATTATGAAAAATATGGAGGCGTGAGGGGGAATTTCACTCCTCTGAGTTTTGGGTTTTAGTTCTGTTCCCACTGGGGCTTTGGGATTCGGAGGAGGTCACTAGGGAACCTGGGCAGTCCATCTTTTCCAGCACTGAAATGTAAAATACAAATCTCGGAATAAAAAATCATTCAGTTTTACTTTTTTAATTGGAATATATTGTTTCAATTAGTATCCACTTTCACATTTTCTTTTATGGGGCTGTTTCACCCATCATGAATATCCATATATGCGTCTATAGGTACATGTATGCATTTAAAATTATGTAAGATTCTACTTTTTATAATGTCTATAATGTATATAATTTAGAGATCACCATATTGTAGGGAAGAAGAAAAGCCTCTATTAGTGTCTGTTCCCATAGCTTTTCACTGAGATTATAAATTAGGCCTGGGAGGGCTATAATGAGTTGGTAATTTATAGACTATTAAGATACTTAGTTAGAAGTGATTCTTGAGCATGTCCAATAGAGAACACATGTTTATAAAGGACAAACATATTCAACACAAAATGTCTTTGGCTTAACCAAGCCCAATCAATTAACAAAATGGATGTCTTATTTTGCATATCTCCTGCTTCCCCAAAATAGAATCACTAACCACTTGTTAACCACACTGACTTTTTAATAGAGTGGTTACTATAGTTTTGCCACCAGAAATGTTCAGATTAAGCACCCTGTTAGATTGTAGCCAGTAGAGTCTACACAAACAGGAAGAAAGCTCTGCTGGCTTTTTTGCCTCTTTTTCTGGTTTGACTTGATGTGATAATTCATTGCAGATTTCTTTTTCTTTGACAGAGTGCCTACCGCAGAAACGGAATGGCTTTTCTGGCCTGCTGATGCGACTGTGACTGTAACAACAGAAAAGGCAATGAATGTTCTATTAAGGTGACTTCTGTTTCCCGATTTGGACAAAAATAAAGTACAAGTTTACTTCTCTGTCTCCTCAGAGTGGGCTGGTTTGTTGTGACTATCAACGGCTGACTCCAGCTCTTTTCCAGCCCCCTCAATGCTTAGTCTTGTTTACTAGATGGGCCATTTAGCTAATTAATGGCAGGAAGTTTGGGATAGTGTGTAGGTGGACAAGAATGCAGATCACACAATTTTGAAATTTTAATTTGAAATGGATTTACTACCCTCAGTGCATATATCTTAAAAGCAGTATTTTTTTTTTCCTCCAGCTCTTTGTCTGTTTTGTTTGATGCCTTTTGTATTCCAAATTTAAAACAAAGGAAACAAAATTTAAAAGGTAGCCATTTTCCGCCATGCACTGCCCCATCAACTTCACTTGCCAACATTTGTTGACTATATCTACATGTATCTTAGTGGCAAATAACCATTACACAAATTCATACTAATCAAGTACCTGACTTGATATACTGGCCCCGGCCCGGTCCTCTCCCCTTCACCCCACTAATAGTATGTAATTTTCAAGCCTTCTTACCAGAAGCCTGTACCTCTGCCTACCAAGTACGTTTTGCTTCATGTAACACCTCTTCATTTCTTTCCTTCCTCTGTCCCTCCAATCCCTACAGTCCTCGGTAAACCCACTACTTAGTTACACACACATGCACACACACACACACACACAGAAGCGAGGAATCAGATTCACTAGAAGAGGAGTTGTGCAGTCTCCTGCACACCACCACACCTTGCCTGGAAGTGTGAGGGCTTATCTCTCTGGTAGAGCAGTGCTTCCGTTCTCAAACCTATACTCTCTCCAGTAGGTGAGGAACTGTGACTCTTGGGAACAACCCAAAACATAGCAGATGTAATTGTACAGTTCCTGGTTAAACTTGAATTGCAAAAACAGAAGATATTTCTTTTATTTTGTGTAATTTTACTTTTCTCGTGGTTTTTACACACACTCAAGTCTTTGTAAAGAATTCGCAAAAGCAGAAATAAGAAGCATGAAAGATTTTTCTCCTGTGACCAAGTCATTTTGGGGATCAGTTAATGTGATTGTGCCATACTATTCACATTTGTTAACTATCATTTACCTGTTCAATGTGTGTCCTTCTGGAAAAAATCTTCATGTCAGGAACAAAAAACGCAGATATATAATATCAAAAAATTGCCAAAGGGTTTTGATGTTCCATCTGTGCCCGTTGAAATATATGATTGAACTTTTCTTTTTATCATCATTCTTATTTTTCTTGGCGTCCCTAATCATAGAAAATTATAAGCTTACAGTAAACATCCTAACTTTTAAAACGACAGCATTTATTGTATTTGGTTTCGATCTGCCAGGCTTATAGATGGTATAAATTTTTCAGAGGCTAATTTTTCACATCAAAATTCCTTCTCTCCCACATTATACATTTTAAAGTCTGCACAAGGCAGAAAATATGGGGTTTAGAGTTTTTCCCTTCATTTTATTCTACCTGATCTCCTTATAGTCCCAGAGAAGGAAGACTCAATGTACATTTCTCTCAGAAATATGACAGGGCTCTGTTTTTGTTGGTCTGGCGTATGTTTGTCTATCTTGAACAGTCTGACAGGTAATTATTTATAAAATCTGGTTTTTGCCCAGTAAGTCCATATAATAACCTTTCACTTTTCATCATAAGCCAGTGAGCTGAATTTAGAATAAAACAAGGTCATTTATGTCTGCCCTGAACCAGCCTAGATGTCCCCAAGATTGCTCAATATTAACATTTTTTTTTCCTTTTCTATACTTAGGTTCTTTCTCTGACTCCACAACCAAATTTGAAGTAATATAAAATTTCCTTAAGCAGTGAGTATAGAAAAAGATAAATAGAAAAGCCTCAGAAAATACAACTACCATAAATTGCACTCACAGGATTAGAATGTTATGCGTAAAGTGATAAAATGTTAAAGTAGAAGATGGTCTTGAAGGTCATTGCAAACAACTGCTCATTTACCAAAGAAAGTTTGGCCTCAGGAGGGAAACTGACTTTCCCAAGATCACTTAGTAATGACAGTGACAGACCAGAGACCAGACCCAAGTCTCTAATCCTCAATCTAATGTTATATTCCCCCAGACTGGATTCACATTAGAGACCATCTCCAAGACACACCTGGGCTTTATGGCATGTTTATCTTAAACAGTAACCTTAATTTATAAGTTATAATTATGAATGCATTCTGAAGGAGTGTTCATATTAAAACCTTCTTCAAAGGAACTGAGTATGAATTAAAATGATCTGTGCTTCTCACATATCAGCATCAACTCTAAATCAAATGGGGACACACGAGATACATAGTTTCTACTTTTAGAGCCTTTTGTGTTAAAGATTGAGTGTGAAGATAAATAAGACCAGGTAAATAAGCAGTCTTTTAGGGGACATCTGCCTCATAAATTTGAGGGCAAAGGAAATAGGAATATGTCTCCCTTCACCTAAATTTAGAGGTGTGACTTTCAGAACATGCCATTTTGAGGCATGTTACTAACCTTCCTGCTTTCGCATATTGCAACATTGAGACTCAAAAATAATGTTCCAATTTTAGAGCCAAGAGTCTTTATTTAAAAACCATCAGATGCACAAATATTTTTAAGTGATAGATAGAATTCTTGGTCTGAAGAGAATTTTTTTCATTTATTACTATGTGTTCTTTGTTTCTATAAAATAATAAACAGTTCCTATTTAATGCTTTTACCATGTTGAAGACAAATAAACATAATGTGATTCTTAGTCTGAATGAAAACAAGTTTACTTCCCTAGAAATTACAAAGTTTAATTTTATGAAAAAATGTATTTCCCAAATCAGGTATTTCTTTCCAGTTCATAAAACTCCTTGAGTAAAACTGAATCGCTAAGAGAAAGTATTCCCTCATCTGTTCTCCTGGAATTTAGATAGACCCTTCCCAGGTTGCATTTAAAATCCTGCCATCAACCATGTATGTATCTCATAAAATATTTTACAGTTTCCTGTATGCTCTGGCTGAACATTTCATAGTACATAAACACTTCTGCAAATAATATAAGGGCATCAAGTTGAATATGCCATAGCACTGGCCCCACATAAAGCTGATTCTCCAGTCATCTATGTTGTTATTTTTATCTTATTTGAAATCCAAGATGAAGCTTTCTATGCTCTTAATAGGGGAGGTGGGATTGGGGGGCAGTTTTCGTGAAGTTTTGTTCATTAAAGCACAGGCTTTCTGCAGAGGGCATCAAGCCAAGCTTAAACAACAAAACCATGCCTGCAGGAATTGGATGTAAATGTGATGGTTAAATAAGGGCCAGATGCCTTTAAAATCTCAAATATTAAAAAGTCATATCTCTTAAAGTAAGTCTCTAATGTAGTGAGAAGGATAGTGATACCAGAGCACTTTTAAAGAAAGAAAGAAAGAGGCTGGCATTTGTTTTCTGGAACAAAATATCAAATATTCAAACTGTCATAAGTCATGGAAATTTTGGCAATTGAAGCATATTTTAAAACAATCAATTCCTACAAAGTCACAAGAAACCCACATGCAATATTTTATTGTTGGAAACCACTGAAATTCTGTATAGAGCATTATATTCACATTCCCTTTCTGCTTATCACCTCCCAATATTCCCTACTCCCATTTTTTCCCCCAAAGGGAAATAAAAATAGAAAAAGATAGAGGTAAAATGAAGATTCCTTACATAATTTTATGTATATACCAGGTAATGCTCTACTTGCTATCAAAGTTATAATAATAACATTGACATAATTATAACATCATGTGCCACCCAACATGCCCAGCACTTGAGGGTAATCCCATTTAACACTCACAAGGCCACAATGCATCATCTCTCTCCCTGTTGCTCTGTCAGTAGAGAGGAAACAGGCACAGAGGTTAGGTGCCTTACACAGAAGGATCCATGATGGAAATGGCATTGGTACCCAGCTTCTGACCCCGAAGTTCAAGTTCTCAACCACTGTTATGCAGCACAAACGGCACTAAAGATTTCTGATAACATATTCAAGCACATTTCTGCCCTGAACTGAGACGTGTTTCCCAGTACCAAAAAACTTGATTACAAGAAAATTTCATTTTAACTTAGCATTCCTTCTCTAAGGCCAGGAATTATGTGTATAATAGAATATCATATAATGTATCATAGAAAATAATTATATAGAATGATGCCAAGTCCTCTATAATGTCTGAAACCTTAAGGTAAATACATATGATCACTGCACATACTAAGACTCCCTACTCAAATTATGAGAAAAATTTGCACAGAGATCCAAGTATACAAAGCCTCTTCTCTGTGAAGAGCAGATTTCTGCAAAAGGCTCTAATTACATCAGCTTTCATACAAGGTATTTATCTCATGTTATAAAATACCCCTCATCTTGTTTACATGTGTTTATAGGGGCAGATACAGAAGTACATATGACAGCCCCTTAAATCTGTATACAAATGACCCTTCTCAGTATTTGTTCATTACTTATGATAAAGTCACAGTTTCTTTCAGCCCGGGATGTTTGTGTGTGCTTGCAAGGAGTGGTAGAAAGAAATAAAGAAGAAACTAGAAAGAAAGTTGCTGAGCACAGTTTGAATGAGAACTTGTCATTTTCTTCTTTTATGAGCAAGTTAGCAGCTTCTTTAATTCAACCCTATGTCTGTTCTGCCACAGGACAAACAGCCTTCTGATTTGTTTCCTTTCAAATACCAACTAGCGTGTGGTGCTGAATGCCACATCTTTCTCTTCGGAATGGTGATTTACATCCTCCAAGCTCTGACGTGGGAGAAGTGAGTTTATCTGCCAGGACAGTGGCCACTTCTCTGTCCTCCCTGATCCCTAGGTGCAGGTCAGACAAATAGTCCCTAAGCAGCCGGCAGTTGGCTTCCCATACAGTTTTAGAGACAAAATCCGAAAGGGGTTAGGCAGTTTATTCCTTATTCCGCAGCATCAGCAAGATTAGCAGGTGCTGACTTCTGTTGCTTCTAAACCCACATGTGTCTACAGACCATACACCCAGCTAAAAGAAGACAAAAGTGGTGGGCCTTCATGCTGTGAAGT